AGAGAGAGAGAGAGAGAGAGAGAGAGAGAGAGAGAGAATTACACTAATAACCCATCCCCCTGTTTTCTATTTATTTATTTTTTAAAATTATACCCCTACTTTCAAGTCGAGATACTGATCAATTTTTGGACCCTGAAGGTCCGATGTTGTTGGAGACCTCGATGAGAGACGTCTTTTTCAATAACATAAAGTCATAAACATTAACATAAAAATTTTGCTTTTTATTTATTTATTTTTTCCCATACTTGTCCCTATTGAACCTTATCCCCTACTTGGGACCTTAAAAACCTGAAGGTTTGGATGGTTTTGTGACAACTTTCAAGTTGAGGCTTGGATAGTTTTGCGACCTTCAAGGTCCGATGTTGTAAAAAACCTTGACGAGGGTTCTGATGTTGAAGGTAAGAAATCGACAAATTTGGACGTTGAGGGTCTGAAGTAGAGGTTATAACGGCTTTCAAGTTGAGGTTTTGGACAGTTTTTGGGGACTTTGAAAATCTGAAATAGAGTCTTGAAGGTCCCAAAATTCTAAAACCTCACCTTGAAGGTGTGAAGTAGAGTTTGTAACGGCTTTCAAGTTGTTGGGGACTTTGAAAATCTGAAATAGAGTATTGAAGGTCCTAAAATTCTAAAACCTCAACCTAAAACACTACTTTGAATTTTCAAGGTCCGAAGTGGGAAAGGTATTGAACAGGTACATTTGGGAAAAAAAGAAGGTATGAACATAATCTCAAATTTTTTATTTATTTATGTCAATGAGAATAACATCCTTCATATAGGCTAGGTTGAGAAAAATCGAGGAAGCTCGGCTTTGGGTGAGACAGGAGTGAGAAAGACTAAGGCATTGGTTTGAACTAGGTTGAGAAAAATTGAGGAAGCTCGGCTTTGGGTGAGACAGGAGTGAGAAAGACTAAGGCATTGGTTTGAACCTAAGACTCGACCATAACTTGACCACTGTGCCAGATAGGATTCCAACTCAAGCTTGTCAGAATGACTAAAAAAACACCTTGCTGGTCTTTGATGAGTCAAAACTTGCATGATCTGAGTCCAATATAGGCATGCTTGATTGGACAGTGGTTGTGCGTCTTTTAACTAAACTCGTAGTTCAAAACGATTTTCTAAAACTTCTTAACACACTTCAAGCCATCCAATTTGACTTTTAAATGGCCAGGAGTAACTGTGACCTCATTGTAAGTCACCCCTCTTTCTAATGGGTGACTTCTAATGGCTAGGACTAGGGTCACATAGTATATAATGCATTTGTGGTAATGGGCTGGCCTAGCCCTTATCCCCATAGGATCGACCTAAGCCTGGCTCTAACAATGTTAGGATGGGGCTAAGCTAACAACAAATGAAGTAAAAAGAAAAAAAAAAGAAGAGTCCTGAGCACCAGCACTAGCACTAGTCCAGCCCTCTGGCCACAATTCGTGGCCCAGACCTTACTTTTTTAGGGCTGGGCATGGGCTGCCCTATCCCATTGCCAACCCTAGCCCCAACTAGTTAAGAATCCTTGTTGACAAGGATGATCAACAAGGATTCTTAACTAACATCGATCAATTTATGTAAACCAAAGATGCTAATCAATTCACTAACCATGGATTTTACTGGATCTCTTGTTGTTTAAGCGAACAGTTAAAGAAATAAATTAATTACCCAAAGAAAATAGTTAAAGAAATTTGTATCTTACTTTTACGGTGTTTTAATTTTTAAATAACTTTTGTGCCCAAGTTGGATCGAATAGAGTTTGTGAATAAACACCGAAAATTAGATTGAAAAATGAGTCAGACCACCGCCTTACTTGTTAGGGGTTGGAGCTTACCCATACCCGACCTGCTACCCGATGCCCCTGTCTTCTTAAAAATATACATTGAATCTAGATCCAGATCCATATCTGAATATGAAACTATATGTAGGATCTAGATCTAAATCCATATCAGTTCCAATTTATATATATATATATATATATATATATATATATATATATAGT